GGGTTGTAGAGCCTTTAGGGGCACGCTGTAGTGGTCGACAGTGGCGTAACAGCGCTGGCGGTGGTGGAGATAGGGGGGCGTGGTTGTAGCTGGTAGTAGTGGACTTAGGACTGGTACTGTAGGTACTGTGGGAGCCTTGTGTAGGCAGCGCAGTGAGAGGAGATCACAGGCCAGAGTCCGAAGTTCGTAGGGGTTCTCCGTAAGCCAGCGCCAGCCAAGATTCCCCGTGTCCAGACTGCAGACTCCAGACTCCGGGAGTCCAGCTACCTACAGTAACTACCCTACAGAGTACCCAGCAACGGATTCGGCAACCCAATTATGAATGGCGCACCGAAAGGAATGTGAACCATTGTACGCAGTAATTGTATAATAAAAAACTTGTGTATCAGCAGAGGTCAAAAAAATAATTAATGGTGGCTGCGCGCAGTTAAAGTTTCCGTCCGGCGCTCTCCAGGGCGGCCAGGTGGCAGCTGCCAGTGCCAGTGCCAGTGCCAGATACCTAATGCTCAGGTCCGGCGGTTCCCCACCACAACGCTCTAGAGCAGCACGCCGGGAGGGATTGGTATTAGTAGGTAGGTAGGTAGGTAGGTAGGTGGAATGATACATTATATCACAATAATAAATAAAGTTATATACGGGGTGCGAGCGAGCCGGGGATTGTGGGATCTGCCATTGTATAGTAATATAATACGGTACTTGGTCTGCTACCTATGATGTTGTGTTCAGGTTAGGTACCTCTTTTAGCTCCTATACAAGCCTACTTGTGAACCGGCTTGATAGGCCTACTGAATAATGCCACGAGATGACGAACAAAGAGACCCCAGCCCAGGGTCTAGTAATTTTTTGGCCCCTGGAAAAATAATTTGATTGCGAACAACCCCAAGTATTCTCTCAATCTTTGCGCAATCGATCGTGCAGATCCCGTCAAAGAACTGCGAGTGACCCGTGGCCATAATTCGTGTGCACACAAACCATTCCCACGGAGAGGCCAGAACACACCTCGCACAACGGCAGCCACGGGAGTTAACTCGTAATAATGTTCGTCATCTGGGGATCCACCACCAGGCCACACGATAACGTGCCCTCAGGAAGTTGGCCCCCCCGCGCCCAATAATATAAAACAAATGATTCATAAGACATCGATGATGCCAGCGAGCAGGTGACATAATGGCATGAGGGGACCAGTTAGAAGGGCGACGCTGCTAGGCCCCATCGAGCACCCACTGGCCCCCCTCGTGCCACCGACCACCGACACCAAGTGCAACTCGAACCCGCCACCGTGACTGGTCACAGGGCAAGTCTGCCCTCTGGCGCCCTTTTAGGCGGTGTTGGAAGAATGCCATTGGGAGACAAGGAGAAATGGGCAAAAGCCCCCGGCAGGTGAGCGTTCGTCGGTTGGTGGTGTGCTGAGTGTGGGGTGAGTGGCCACTGGACCCGCCCGATGTGGCCACCAGCCTCAGGGATCCCTCCTCCACATGACGGACTATTGTAATATTGGACGGCGACGGGGATGGGGATGATGGGGACTTCTCCAGCTGGTGGGGAAGATGATCAAGAAATTATTTGGAAGTGGGAATGGGAATGGGAACGGGAATTGTTTTGGGAATTCGGCCCCGATTTGCTGCGCAAGCGCTATAATCTGACGCGAGAGATAGATGCCATGCCCGGCTTAAACAGGGTTATGCCAATATCCCCGAGACGGGTTTCGAGAGGGGAGGGCAACGATAACGAGAAAATATTAATGAACGCTTTCCAAATGCCTTTTTTCTCCCTCTGTCTCCCCCGCATGAAAGTGCAATCTATTCTCTCAGTGTGGGCTCCAATTGTCGACTCGGTTTATAGCTGAGCGACAATGCATCAGGCACCGCGTGTGGTGTCCGAATACTGTATCGTACGTCGTACCTGTTCCTGAAATATTATAATATGTGTTCCCGCCAGGATTCCTATCCGTCGATAGTTGCGCAAGTAGGTGGCTGTGTGGGGCGGCGGCGTGACTTGGTGAAATAATAATATCAATAATTAATTGTGGTTTTGTTGGTGCTGTACCAGGCTCTGCTTGCTCCAGACAATAATGACGTTTTCAAGGCTTGATCAGCAAGATTATGCTTATGCTTATGCTTACTCTGTACTCCGTATACGTGTCCGTAATTGTTTTGTATCCTTTCAAGATCTCCCCGTCCAGTTGAATTGGACCCTTCACAGCCTCCAGGCGCGAGTAGTACGAAATAGAGTACACAATCGAGTCGATCCACACCATTCTGGCACGCTCAGCGCTTCCCGCAGCGGCTGCATCAATGCTTCAGACGGGCGGATTCCCACGTTGATTGACCAGTTGCCCACGCCGCAACGAGATTATGGAGAAATAAGGGGGTGGCCGGCCTTTTACCCGCTCCAAGAGAAACTTCCCTTTTTCTGAGGGTTCGAGGGCATCCATGCCATTATTGCCACCACCGCCGTTGTCCCATATCGATGGCCCACCTCAATAATATCCAAGAAGAGGAGAAGTGTGGCTTGCCTTGGAGTCTTGGACGACGACGATGGCTCGCGGATAGATCCTGATCTGGTCATTAGATAGCCCGTGCTGAGCAAGGCCTGGGCGCTGCAGATCGCTCGACCTAGATCTCTGGAGCTCCTCCCGTCCCCACACTTTTGGAACTTTTGGACGGGAGATTCATCTCAGGACATTTGTTGCTGGTGTGCTATGAACTTTTTTTTGTTTTGGTGTGTGGTATCCTTCCTCCAGGGTCCGGGCATTCGCATAATACCAATTGTAGACTTGTTTCCCTTTGGGCCATGGGGAAATTGGAATTGCTTTCGCTTTCGCCCTCGCCCTCGCTCGCCAGCTGATGCCCAGTCTGGCACACGAGGGGTAACGAACTGGTGACCTGCATTAGTGTCAAAGATGCGATGTTTGTTGGCTTGAGCCTTGGAACCTTTTGAAGCTATGGACGACGTCGTAGTTTGAACTAACCGATGACAGGACCCTGGGGTGGGAATGCGTCTTCGTCGTCCTTGGCACATCATGAAAAGTTATGAAACTGATCAAGTGTCGTCACTAATAAGCAGGGTCACGGATTCGCTCCACGCGCCCTGCCTGGATTGATCATCTGAGGCCTAATAAATTATACTAATATCAAGAGTTCGGGTATTATTATTCCACGACTTGAGAAGGTTTCAAACGTGGAGCTATGAAGTTCGCTTTGTTGCCCCTCAAACAGTCAGGTGTTGGGTGCCACGGTCACGTGTTGATATCAAACACACGTGATGCTGGATTCTACCCAGGCACCTAGGTACCTGCCTAGGTTCTTTTCCTTCCTTGCCAGCCTTACATTCCTCTAAGTATAACGACACATCCTATTTCTTTCTGTTCATGTCCCTTTCTATTCCACTTCATATGCGAGCGAGACTATGCTCTGCCCTACAGAGCCCCCATTCCATTCCTTCTGCATTGCACATGCGCAGTTTATCTACAAAGCGAATAGGCAATTAGCAAGAGGCAGAAGTTTGCTTTGCTATCAACGCCTAGATGAGAAGGGTCGTTAAATAATTGTACAATATGAGGCCTTTAGTGAGGTGGTTCTTGCTCTGTTTCTGATCCCGAAATGCTATTCTGATTTCGATTTACGACCTTAAGAGATTCCGGTTGTTGATGTGTCTTTGGGTTCTGCTCAGTTCATGAGGACATAGCTCGTGGATATTCATCATCTCCATCTACGCCGTAGTTCTTAAGACCGGATAGTTCCCCTTGAGCTTATGTGAGCTGTCTGCCTGGCTTGGCGGAACTTATCCATATGAGCATCGACTATCCCGCCACGGCTCCGGCCACCTGCCCCTTTTCCTCCTCGATCTCCCTTGGTTCCGAGCCGGACCTGGCCCTCACCCACCGTCAAACATACCTACTCCTATCGATTAGTCATGGGCAACGTGCGCGGAGACGGCGAAAAGTGGCGAGGGCCGCATTTGCTACCCACCCGCAGAGCCACGGCAAGCAGCTCAAGGCGGCAGGCCGATGTTGAGCACTTTTGGTTTGCCTGTTTGGGTTTAATCGACTATACAGATCGAAACCTCATGAATTCCGGCTTTTCCCTGAGCATCGTGGATTGCTACTGCCCTGTTACTTTCTCAATATGATAACCGTGGAACTGGGGCTTCGCTACTATCAATAGCTGCTCCCGACATGCCCATACCTGCTGGCTATAAGCATACCACTCAATGGTCAATATTTCAACCGAATTCGATATTTCCGCATCGATATTGATTTCAGCCTTCTTAAGGGGCACTCCCATTACGGGGTATTGTTTTCTAGCTGCCTCTAGCCACGACCAAGCTACGGAAAGGACGTTTCATGACTATGGCGATGGTTTACACAGTGTGATTAGTCGCCTTCGGCTCATTCGAAATCCTGATGCCAATTCAACAAGCACTATTAAGCTACACAATGTTCTTACTAGGCGGGAAGATGGGTCGATTCTCGTTCAGGCTCTGGTGCAAGCATTTCGACGACTTCCCAATCTCACAAGCGCACAGAACCTCGTTATCACCATAGATTCCAACAACTTAGAGACTGAAGTCTTTTCCAGCAACCCGCCTTCTCACAAAGCAGCAGCTTATTAGTTATTTCGAATCCTAGTCCAGGGAAATGTATAGGTTTCAACAAGGAC